GATTTACAGAGCTCCACCCAGGCACAAAGCAGCAGTGACAAACTAAAAACTGTCTCCAAGTTCAGATGAGTGGCAATGCTGTATATTAAATTTGGAGAAATCAAGGTAATTTTGTTGTGATGCAGAAGTGTGTGACTGAATCTTAGTATATGAAATATCCCCACATAAATATGTATTTATTAGCACCTCACTGGTTGTAGATTTTTAAAGGAATACCATTATAAGTCTTTGTTGTATAATTGATAGATACAGTTAATAGAATTATCTATTACTCTACTGCAGAGTAATAGGAAAAAAAAAAATCTACACAGAGGCTTATGCTTGTATAGCAGTGTGGTTCTAAAATAAATTCCTGATTTTCTAAACTGTTCTGCAATTAAAAAAAAGACGTAATACTGATAAGATTCCACACAATAAGATAGTTCTAGTCTACAATAACGTCAGGCCTTATACAAATATTAAGTTTTAGCTTTGTAAAGCTACTTCACCACATTTAATATACAAATCCATAATTATGTGACACTTATGGATTGGATTTAAGAAAAGGTCATGAACACATTAAAGACAATAAGAAAATGACTTCCTCTAGCAAGCACCTCAGTATTTTCTTTCATCTTAAGGATGAAATAAGACTTGTGCAGAAAAGGAAACAAATCTATGCGTAAAACTTTGATGATTGCAAAGTAATCATACTATTAGATAAAAGCAAAAGCATAGTCATTTTTTTTAATTAAAAGATCCACAGTGAAAGATCAGACCTAGCAACTTTAATGTAAAATCCTTGCAACCCTGTATTTTCCTTACAAAAGACAAATACAAAGGAGTTATTGATTTATTTCACTAATAAAAGAACTTATTTGCCTTAAAATAAATGCCATTCTTCAAGATATTCTGCAGATAGCCTCCTGCATGAACACAAATAAAAAACAGTAGTTTTGAATAAAAAAAAGTCTGTTTATATAGCAAAGCTTCCCTAGCATCATAACAGTGGTAAGCAATAGAGCAAATCCAGATCATACCTATGCCCCTTGGCCTCTCAGATTTTTGTCCTGGGTTCTGAGATGAAGACAAAGAAAGATGAGTGGTGGCATTCCCAGGTATAATACAAGGGGGAAAAAAAAATAAAAATAAAAATCAGTTGCTGCTAACACTGGCAATTGCTTATCTGTATATCTCCCTGAACAGATGAAGCCCACTTAGCAAAGACACTGCTCTCATAAGGCAGCTGAGTACCCAGCTGTAAAACATTCCCACAAATGTCTCTGCCTTGAGCTAATGCTCATTTCACCTGAGACCCACTGTGAATTTTGTTTCTTACTTCAAAACAGAACTTATATAATAAAAACTACAAAATCAGAGACCATTGATAAGCAGAAAACATAACCTGAGTTGGATGATAGCTTGCTTTCCCCAACTGTCTACCTCTTCTGATATTCTTTTTGGCCAACAGTGAGCAGAGCTGCTCACAAATCACCCTCAAACTGCACTGCACAACATGATATGTCACGGATATAAAGTCAGATAAAGAGCTCAGTTTGAATTGTTTCTTTTCAGTTCACAAATGAGATTACTACACAGACTCAAACAGTCGCTACAAATGGCTGTAATGGCCTAAGATGTTTTTGTTCTCTTCTGAAGTTGTTGCACCCACAGCTGAGCTGGCAGAATGAATCATCTGAGATCTCCTAATGCATTTCATGCAAAGATACGTGAGTTAGCTCAAATGACACTCAGAAGCACTTCAGGCTGTTGGTTGGCATTGCACCAAATGAACAAGGAACATTCTCATTGTCCTTTGGGATCGGTAACAAGGACAAGAACTTTAATTGAAAGCTCGTAAACAAGCAGTTCAGAAAATCTCAAACATCAAATCTACCTCAGATATATACATATTTTTACAACAATTCTTTCTTACTGCAGCCTGAAATACCGCCTCAGAATCAGTATGAGAAGCAAAGAGTTTTTATTACAGTAGAACATAAATACATCACTTCATAAGTTCTCTTCCACAGAAGGCTGTGTTTTTTTCTTTGTTTCTTTTTTTTTTAATGGAGAAGGCCCACCTTGCCACCAGACCTTCAACAAATTTCCATCAATGCCTCTGTAAAAAACATTTGAAAACATTTCTCTAACTTTCTCTACTCTTGGAAAAATGCTTCCACATAGCAGATGACAATTTCACATTGTGTAAGAAACTCATTAAACAAAACCAAAAAAATTAAATTTTGCCAGATTTGAATGTAAATCCAATCAATTGCTTTTATTCACAAAATCCATCAAAGAGATGTTCCTTGCGCAGCCAGTGCTCTCCCTCCTATCTTCCCAGGCCTGTTTACCTGCTAGATGTTCTAGCAAGAATACGTATCAATACGTATCCATGTGCTTTGGCAAGCCTGCTCTGGTGATGCAGCTCCTATTCACCACCACACCACAGTGTTGACTCATCACCTGCACCACTGTGTCACTACTGCTACAATACCCTTCTTTTTTTCGGCAGAATTGTAATAATTTAATCATTAATGGTTATTAAAACAAACAAACACAATACCAACAGCTAAGGAGCTGCCCTCTAAGAAAGTCAGGAAATGGAACACTGTAGCAACATGGTATCAAAGATGGTAAGAAGAAACCAAGGACTTCATGGACGCCTTTGCAGCCTGCACAGACAGGCTGAGGAGTCTGGCGTCACTCAGAGCTTAAACATAACCCAGGGGATTTTGATGGCCAAAACTTCAATTACATAAGCAACAGCTGTATTATTCATCTACTACCTACTTTAGTGACACTAATTAACAAGAACATTATAAATTACCTGTAAACAATGAAGCATGTAAAAGCAAATTATTTTTACATACCCTTACCAGTATGATCCAAGAGCCCAGCAAACCTTGGGAAATTAACAGGATTACCTGGTGCATAAAAAGCAATTAAGTTCACAGTTTGAGTGGAATATATAAGGTTTTCTTTTTCCATATTAAGGGCAGATTAAACAGAGAAAAAGAGGATTCACAGCCAGATTGTTTTGAAGAAAAAAATCCTCTATAGTTTGATTTTTGAATTCTACTTGATACTATTGATACTGACTTCATTAAAACTGTTGGGAATATTATCTTAACCACTCTGAAACAGGTAAGAGCTGGGATTTTGGGAGCTAAATAGTCTTCTTTCCTTTTTGTCCAGAGAAAGCCTTGAATCTGAGAGAACACCTGTGTGATGAAACAAGAGCCAAACTCATATGAATGACATTCCTGATCTGGGTGCTCAGCAACAGCTTGTCAGCAAGGATCACAGCCATCTTCCAGCATAACCACATCCCCAGTTTCACCTCTGCCCCATCTCTGATTGAATTTAAAACAATGACACCTAGGTTGACTTAGGCAGTGTTACCACATACAAACAAGGCTAATATGTGTTATGTAATAGCTATTCCACAATGGCCTGCCATTACTGACAGCTTTATTTGACACTAAAGGTGACTTTCTGAGGTTTAGCTTAGTCTGAGGGAGGTGAAGTCAAACCACAAAAAGGCATTCCTAGCATAGAACACGTGTCCACAAGGCAAGTTGGTGCAGAATGGCTACTGCATTTTAAATTCACACCTAAGATTATTTCACAACAGCTTCCCTTCCAAGTAAGCAGCAGTCAGTGAGAGACAGACAGTAGTGAGAGAAAAGGAAGTAAAAGGGTTCAGCTGAAATTGCAGGTGACTGCTGTAACATCTTTCACAATAACTTTGTTTAGCGAGAATATACAGCCACCACAGCTAGGCGAGACAAAGTGGACTCATCCAGAGATTTTCACTGCTCACTTAAACACTTTATATAAACACAGCAATCATTAAAGCAGTATTGCCACTGTATAGTATATAGAAACAAAATTATGCACATATGACCATATGGAGCAAAGTTTTCATCAGTATTCTTCCAACTATCAATAGTCATCAAGATATACTACGCTAACACATAACGTGTAATCTTCTCCTGTTTGTTCCTTTAATGACACACAACATTACAGAAGTAATTATTTCAGAAGCTAATGTTATTTTCTTGCACGTATGAGGCAAGTGAGCATTCATCATCAGAAAAGGCCGTCTCTGTATAGGATACATCCACTCAAAACTACAGAAGCAACTTCAGACTTGAAAACTTACTTGGAGAGTTAGTCCTGGTAAAGGTGTTATCTCTCATTCATCCAACTGATGTAGTTGAGAAAAGAATATGGAGGTGTAAGCCTTCTTGTTACTCTTTTCTAGACCAGTATCAAATGCGTTACTTCAAGTCCTGCGATGTTATGTTGGCACAAATGCAGACGATTCCTGGATATACTAAAATGCCATGGCTAAAGCTATAGCAGAAAGAACTTGCATTTATGTAAGTTGCAGGGCAGAGTCACTGGGACCATTAACCTGGAAGAGTTTTTCAGTCCTTGAAGTGGTCGGTTTGCACAGCACAGCAGCTCCCAGGGACACGGTGCCCACTTCACAGACCGGTTTGCCTTTCCCAGTCAACCCCACAGCTGTGTGTGTGTGGGCAGCCTGGGGACTCAGGGAGTGCAGGGAGAGCCCTGCCTTTTCATGGCTCATCCTCTTACTACCACTTCTTCAAATAAAGATGCCTCCGCATCTTTATATATATATACGTACACACATGGAATTACAATGCACACCACATTAACTTTGGTGGAATTTTAGGAGTGGCCATAAAGCTATACATAATACAGCCCCATTTTACATCAGTGAACAAAACCTCACCCACTGAAACAGAAGAAGCACGTATCACTCAGCATTACCCTTAAAAGTGAAAAGCAAACTGCCCTTCACAAGCAACAAGTGCCCGCACAGCTCAGTCTCCCTGAGGTGAAGGAACGTAGGACAAAGCGCACGCTGCGAACAGGAAGCGATCCCCCCACCTCAACCCTTCCCGCCTCCCTCACAACGCTCGCGCCCGGGACTCGGCCACTTTAAGCGGAGGCACGCGGCGCGCAGGCTTTGTGCGCACGCGCAGGGGGCGGGGCGCTCAGTCATCCGTTGGCAGCGCGGGAGTCTGGCTGGGGTTTTGCAGGAGGGGTTGGAGGTGAGCGGGGTGCGTGGCTGCTGGCGCGCGCGCGGCAGGTGCGAGTTGTCACTAACCATCGCTCCCGCGCGCCGGGCTGGGAGTGAGCAGGTGGCGCGGCGCGGCGCGGTGCTGAGGCACCGTCTGGGCCTCTGCGTCAGCTGGGGCAGTGACCGGCCCGACCTCGGGGCCGCTGTTTCTTCTGAGCCTTCTTCGTTTCTCTCTCCTATGCTGTTCTGCCCGCAGCCTCAGAAACTGTGGTGTTGACCATCCACAGACGGTCTCCAGGGTCCCTTCCGCCTTGGGCAGCAGTGATTTCTCGCAGTCTATTCACGGCCTGGCAGGTGTTCAGTCGGTGCGCTGCGGGACTGCCCGTGTGTGGGTGCCCGTGTGTGGGTGTCCGTGTGCCGCATCGCAGAGCACTCGCAGCAGTGCCAGGTGTTTCTCCCAGAGTGACGCTCTGGCCTTTCTGGGAGCCATCTGCACCCTTCGACTTCATCTGTGACTTGAAATTCTCCTAAGGGAAAATAAGCCTTAGGAGTTGGTAATTCTAAACAATTCTCATCAACTCTAATACAAGGCAGCTATTAAAAAAAAAAACAAAAAAAAACAACAGGCCCAAACCTGCCCAAGAGGTGGTACTTGGAAGTTTCCAATATTTAGGACACCTAAATCTGAGAAAACCTAAGTTTATGCAGTCCAACTGTATGTAGATATGAGTCTGTGTACCTGCTGGAATTTCCGATCTGTGTGTCAGTCCAGTTGGACTGTAGGAGGAACTGTGGGAATTCACCTTGAGAATTAAATGAAGCATGAGATGTTGGGAATGCTGAAATTATTAGTTCAGCTCAGAAAAGTACTTTTTTTTTAATGGTATGCATTTTTTCTTCATCATAGTCTGTACTGATTGTGGCTTCTACTTTTTGAAAACTTGACTTTGCAATGTAATTAATGTTGTGTTCTAATGTACTGCATCTTAGGGGAGTGGTGAACTTTGACGCCTAATACATTGCATTCACTTTTTTGTTCTTTTCAGTTAGTTACGTTTTTCCCCCCCATACTCCTGAGCTCCTTGCCCATCTTTCTTCATCTCTGCTTTCTTGGTCTCACCTCCTCATTTGTTGTTCCCAGTTCTTCCATTTCTCTCCATTGTATTTCTGAGTTTTGCTGGCCCTTATGTTGCTATTCCTTGCACGTTTCTTTCTTCTCACTGATTCATAATACCAGTCCTTCCTTCCTGCATGTTCCTCATTCAAAATCATTCTTCCTTGAAAGCTCGCTCTTAGGAAACACAGATCTTAAGACATTTTGATACAGTTTTAGAAGACTTCAAGTCTTGTCTTCTGCTTATATTGGCTGCCTAGGCCTGATACAGGAGGAATAAACTGCCCACTCTTCCTTTTTTTTTTTTTTTTTCCCACTCTTCCTTTTTTTTTTTTCTTTAAACAGGACCACGCCTGATGTGGGCTTTAACAACTTGGAAGCAGACGAATTATTTTGTCAGAAGTACATGCAACTGAAAACTGTCTTATAAACAATGTCAGAAACAAGTAGATCTCTGCACCAAGCCCAAGACAAACAAACTGGAGTGTTTTAGTGCTGATGAATGTACACTTTGTAGAAGGAGTAGTCATGTGTCAGTTTGCAAAAATGGGAGAAGAAAGAGGAGAAGGAAATAAGATTAAAACTGGGCTAGAATCTATTTGAGAATGCCCTGGAGGTGCTGCTATTGTGCAGCCTAATGCTGTTTACTCAAGATGTGGGTCAGACAATCTTGGCCTAGAATGATGATGTCAAAACTCACAATTTTTACTCCATTTGTTTTAAAGAATAAAAACTCAGATAACTTTTATTTGGAAAAGCCAGAATGGTAGTGCATGCTGCTTCTTTTAGGTCTTTTCAAAATTTAAAATGGCCTGGGAAACCAGTAGCATTTTTGTTCCCTCAGAACTTCTGTTGTTCAGAGAAGCAATCCAAACTTACATTGTATATTTTTCCACTTGTGTTTTCCTGTGCCATTCCATACTGCCTTTCCTTTGTTTTAATGTGTTAATATCTTTATTCAACACTTCTTTAAGAACTGCATTTTTTCCCTCTGTACCATAGTAGAAAGCAGATATTTCAAATATGTGTTGGGCACAATAAAAATGCTTTTTATGGCCTCTTGTTCAGATTGTGCTTGCATAATAAGGGTATTTGGTTTTGGGATAACAAAAATAGAATCAGTTTTGAGCACGGACGTTTCCGTAAAGCATGAGCTGTACAGTGATTCTGCCAACTCTGTGCAGTTTATAAACAGTGGATCAAACACTTAATACCATGGATAGGTTTGAACTGAATGTGAATAGTACTTAGAGGAATTATTTGTCCAGATTTCATGTGAACTGTCACGCTGATGTCAGTTCATATTCACTACATTCTTAACTCATTGTTTCTGCACAGAGCAGTGTCATTAATGGCTATAAACTTAAGCCAAGTTCTGTATGTGTGCAAATCGTTTACTGGAACATTTTAAATTGTATTCTCTACATCTGGCCATTTGTAAAATGCTCATGGAATTAACACAGATTCTCAGATGCTAAGACAATTGCTATGTGGACCTCTTGAATGTAATTTTGTTATGCAAATACTATCAGCCAAGGTAATGTAAGAGGATTCAGATACTCAAGAACTCAAGAACGCGAAATTAGATCATTTATGCTTGAGTTGGCTCAGGAATGACACGAAATACGGAGTAAAAATATGTAATTTCATGTTTATAAAGTCTGTGAGTCCATTGTAAGAACAGACTTGCTCACTTCAAAGTTTAGAGAAGAATGTGGATTTTTGTTCTGAAAAGATTTTATGAAATGACAAGAAAACAATGTGCCTAAGATCACACAGGAAATATGTAGTGGAGTAGTGATGCTGAACCCATGATTTGCCAAAGTTTACCTTAGGCCATCCTTCTTCTTAGGATTTTACCTGAGTGAAAACAGACGTTGTTTTAACTGCATGAGTATAAAGTTCACAAGTCTGTTTATTCTTCATTTGAGATTGTTTTATATGACTATTGGGCATGAATATCAAAAGTAGTGAGGCTCATGTTTCACTCTTTTCAAATTTGTATTGAAGCCACTGTGTGGCCTTCTCTTGGCAATTGCTTTGCCAGGATATCAGGCCATTGCAGATGGATCCAACTGCAACAGAGCAAAAGCAGAGCAGTGCGTTTTGGCAGCGTTATCTGAAAAGCACAGGCTTTGGCAGAAGTCAGAAAGAACAGGTTATATTCTGGCAGCATGGAAATGTGTCTGCAGGGTTTCACTTGCACCACACCTCTAAGTTTAGTTTGTTTTGGATGAGCTGTTTGTATTTACATCCATTTGTTAGTTCTTCCTCTCTTCCGCAGCTCTGTGGTTGCTCATTAGGTTGCTCTCACTACAAAATGCCAGCAGAGCAGTAGGAGAGCGGAGCTGTGCCTGGTGGGATGCTCCTGGCTCAGCGGATGGTGCAGCTCTCCTTTACTGCTGTGTAGGGGACAGAGTGGATGTTAGGTTTCCCATGGGATTTGTAAGTGGTGTCAAAACATGTGTTACGTAACTCCTGTACCTCCATTTCCAAATTGCTGAGTACTTTACCCCATTTTCTTTCTCAAGGGATTTTATGCTTCAGCCCTTCAAGCAGTGTTTTCCTTTGTAGGAGTCCAGTGTGAAATCGCTGCAAAAGCAGGGATGATTATACAAAGAGTAGTGCTGAATTCACGCCCTGGTATGTATTTTATTGCAATAAGGGAGCAGTGTGTTTGTCGTGGTTGCCTAATAGTCCTAAGTGCTGAGAGTAGAAGCAGAAACAACTTCAGATTTGCATATCTTAATACTGTATGCAATAATAAACAAAGTTTATTATGAAGCGTATTTATTTAATCTCTACATGCAGACTTCTAATCTCATGGTTGAGAAAAATAATGCATAATTATGAGAAAACCCTAGGAGTAGAGACTCAGTGGGAAGAAAGATTATCAAGTGTTGCTTTTTAGTTCTGAAATGTCTTCTTTTTGTAAGATTATTAGAATATTTTTATAAAGTTTTCTGCAACAAGCAGCGTGGAAACTATCACTAAGTACAAGTACCTTGTACTGGCCAGTGAAGAATAATGCCATCAGATCCATTAACATGAAAGTCTACATTGTTTGTCTAGATTTGCATAAAATGTAGATCAAAAGGTTGCTTGCAAATCAGAATAGACCAGGCAAAGATAATTCGAATAGTGGTTAGTGTACAACTCTTGTGCTGCATACCCAGGATGATTTGAAACAAGTCATTTAATATTTCATTAGCCTTTGGAGATATTTCTTGTAGAAATTAGTCCTCAATAGTCAGGAAGGGTTAGCTGAGCATTTTGGAATGTCTGTTATAGCTGTGTCTTCAGTTTGGGTGCTGGGAGTACACCTGTTTAAATCTCAATCTGCTGAGTTAGCTGATAGTTTTATGGCTATGAACAGAGACAAGCTAACATATTCTAAAAGGGACTACCGTAATTAAAAATGCCTTTCCTGTTGATTAAAGGAAGCTCCGCATTGATTGACCTATTTGTTTCTTTTCAAAATAATTCTAGGTAAGAATGGAGTGCCAGTGCCTGAAAACTTCAGACTGGAGCAAAGTACAATACCAGACACAGTGCAAGAGGGACAAGTACGTGTTAGAACCCTGTATCTCTCTGTGGATCCATACATGGTAGGTGGTGAGCTTACAACTAAGCCAGAACTTCTTTAAAAATTACCTTAAACTCTGCACCTCTCATGATATTTAACAACAGAAGTCAACAATCGTAAAATCTCTAGTGAGGAAATACAAAGAAAATATTTAAATATTTAAATGCCAAGTTGTTTCATTAAACATTTCTTTGTGAGGGATGATCCAAACATGTTTTACTGTTCTCCAGTGCATGGAGATGGACTAAATGACTTCTGGCTGTTTTTTGCAATCCTACACTTCTGTGATTCATGCAGTCAAGGAATATGAGGAAATCTTGTCAGGTCCAAGCCAGCTGCCTTTGGGTATGAGGCTGACTTTGAAGCAATGTCTGTAGAACATGTTGGCTTTGGTAGCACTGGTGAAGGAGATTAAAATGATCTGTCTTTTTGTACCACGTGAATAAGCAGGGAAAGAAATATCTAAGAGAAGATTATGAATATTTGGGGCTTATTGAGAGATTTTTGAGTAGCTCATTGTGTCTGACGTTTGAAACATGTCCCATCCTCAGCTTCATTTGAACTTCTTATAACCAAATGATGTGTTCCACCAGAGCTTCTCATTAAAGTCTTGTCTTTCAGCGCTGCCGGATGAATGAAGATACAGGTTCAGATTACCTCCTGCCTTGGCAGCTCTCTGAAGTTGCTGATGGTGGGGGCATTGGGGTTGTGGAGGAGAGCAAGCATAATAACTTTGCTAAAGGAGACATCGTCACTTCCTTCAATTGGCCCTGGCAGACAGTGGCCATTCTGGATGGAGGCTTGCTACAAAAGGTATACAAAACCCGGATTGTCACCATTTTATTTTCATAAATCTATTTATTTTTTTTAAAGAGTAATTAATGATACTATTTGTTAGTCAAAATCAAGTTGATATTAATAAAGAAACCCATTTCAAAAGGCAGATGAACTCACAGTTGACAAAATCTGTAACAGTTTTTCTGCTTTTAACAAAGAAAAAGATGAATGCTTTTGTTGGCTATCAGGCATGCCAGTATTATTTCACTTGCTGTCTTTTTAATAAACTTCCCCAAGGTTGCTTCTGTTAATTAATTCTGTTAGTTAATTCTAGGTAGATCTACTCCTGATCCATGGAAGTGTAGTCATGAAAGGTTTTAGGCACATTTAAATCAATTTATTCACCAACCTGTTAGTGAAAGCTTGTACTTCTTCCATAGGAGAAGTGCCACTGATCTGCATTCCTAATGTTTGATAACACTGCTATTTTGTCCTTTATGCTAACGTAGGGATAGTTTGCCATTGCCTGAGACTTCTGATCTGCTGGACACTTCTTGATATTTCCATCATTCAAGCTCTTGTGAGTGATTTTACTCACAACCTTTTTCTGAAACTGTGGACCAATAATCTTAGTTTCATTTTATGTAAACTTGTTGTTAAGGTAGAACCAGTTTATAGCTAGCTGTCGCTGTCTGTAAATATCCTTGTAAATATCCTGAATTAGTCTTGTATCATCAGTCAAATGACAAACAGCAAAACCTCACCTTAGAAGAAATGAACATCATGTGATTTTGTTGTAGGTTGTTCCACAACTTGTGGATGGACACCTTTCCTACTTTCTTGGCGCGGCTGGATTGACAGGACTGACAGCCTTGCTAGGTATAAGAGAGAAAGGCCATGTGACTGTGGGTGCCAATCAGACCATGGTGGTGAGTGGAGCAGCTGGTGCCTGCGGTTCTTTGGCTGGCCAGGTAGGTTGGCTGAAGACACAAAGGGTATAGAGTTACTAAATTTGTGTTCTGAAACATGATGATTACTAAACATACAGATAAAACCATTATAAATATAAACAAGTATAACTTCATGGGAAGGTTCACAGATTTGGCTCACACTCATGGAGAGATTTTAGGTATGAAACTCAAGTTTCCTGAAACTGGGATAGCAGAAAAGGGTCTGAGGCTAATGAAGAGGATACTCTAAAAACAGATGCCTAGTGTGTTTCTTAGAGTAGTCTGCCATTTGAGTACAGTCTTTGAGTTGACTGGCAACTTCCATTTTTCCTATATTATCAAATGCAGTAAACCTTTCCTCACATTGGCTCTCCAGTACTGCTGAGTGTTATAATTCCACAGTCAGTGATTTGGAAAGGCAGTGTAATTCTGTTGGGAACTGCCCCTTCTCTACATGTGAGGAAGGAACAACAAAAGGCTCTTTGGCTGCAGTTATGTCACGTGGGATGGGAATGTACACTCAAATTTGCTGTCTCGGGTTTAGTGGGATAAGACGTGCCTAACGTTTATGTGTGGGGAAAACGATCAACTTCTCTTTATTGTTTTGTTCTGTTTTAACAATAGATTGGCCGTCTGGACGGGTGCTCTAGAGTTGTGGGTATTGCTGGCACAGATGAAAAGTGCTCCATTTTGGTCTCAGAAATGGGGTTTGATGCTGCTATCAATTACAAGAAAGGGAATGTGGCACAGCAGCTCCGTGAACTCTGCCCAGGTGGTGTGGATGTTTACTTTGACAATGTTGGTGGAGAGATCAGTGATACAGTTATAAGCCAGGTGATTATGCCAACTATCAGGTTTATTCTCATCATTCTCCAAAGTCTGCGTACCCAGCTTTGAATTAAGCCTGTAATACAGTAGAATAGGCTTTCCACTTTGTTGATCTAATTTTGGTGCTGATCCCGATCAGGAATCAAACATTTGACATCAGTGCCTTTTACTTGGGCTAGCCTTACAGTACACTAGTGAAAACATAGTTTCTACTTCTGATCTCTTGCTTCATTGGCCAGGAGACAGTAATGTTCTTAAAACATTCTCTGTCAGTGCAGTAATCTTGTGTTTTAGTACTGGTTTACTGGCAGCTCTGCTGGATCTCCATAAATGCTCTTGACCATCCATCTTTCATGTTAACATGAAACTAGTCTGTGTTGCATAGCAGAGACCTTGCTGGCAATGCTCTCTTTGGGATCTCTAAATCACAGCCTGTATCCAACAGCTGTATCCTATTACTCCTATTCCTCACAAAAAAGGCACATAGTAAAAAAACCCTATTATGCTCCTCATATTTAATGCTACATATACTGCATGGCATGTTTTTCCACTCTTTGTCTGCATTTGTCTATGTGGTCGTCACAGGTTGACAGGCTGAAATTCTGCTCTTTTCTAGGAGAGGTGACTAAATAAAGACACTTGTGTGAAAATTTTGTGATATATTCTAGTGCATGTCTAGAAAGTGTGGTTTATGAGAGCAAGGAATGTAATTTGTCTCACTTTGTGCTGTCCCAAATAGATGAATCAGAACAGCCATATCATCCTGTGTGGACAGATTTCTCAGTATAACAAAGATGTGCCTTATCCTCCTCCATTACCTCCTGACACAGAAAAAATACAGAAAGAAAGAAACATCACAAGGTACATTTCTCCTTTGGAACTTGTGACCAGGTCTAAATCACAAGATTTTTGTGAGTCTGATGTTCAGAAGATAGAACTGATGGTCTGTAGATCCATACCAGGCGTGTGTAATTGCAGCAGAATGTTGCAACACCAGAAAAAATTAAAACCACAGCATCATTAAATTCTTTCTCTTACATTTGTCTGTAATGGCATAAAAATGGGAAAGGATAATGTTACCTGTTAACATAGATTTGTGATTGCTTAATTTAGTCTTGGAGTCTCTGAGAGATTCTTCAAAATAAGGGAATGTGTTGCCACGGTTCTGTTCTCAGCTGTTTTGCAACATGCTATCTCTCCAGGTGTAGTGGTTCAGGAGAAAATCAAATTCTTTTTAATGAAAGAATGCAGCTGAAGCTGTGGTTGTTTTTAAATTTCAGTTTTAGTATTTGGGTTTTCATTAGATAATGGGAACTAATGGGAACTTGATTGCTTTAGGCAGCTGTGAGAGCACCACATGCAAAATTTTGGGCAGCTAAAAAGTTAATTTATACTTTCCATCTATTCCAGATCCACTGTTCACTCCATTACAGGAAAAAAAAAATAGTCTGCATTTTATGGACATTTGCTTGTTCTTGTGGCAGTAGTTCTTGATTTTTGTCATGCTTCCCTCTGATGCTTGAAACAGAAATTTTTTTGTCCAAGATCAGCGTTATTCTCAAGTTCCTGCTCCTGTCTTAACAAGCTTGCAAAGCTCTGCAAGCATCATTGTAATCAGTACTGACATTCCTTCAATTTCAATAACATTGTTGTGTTTCTTTAAAAAGCCTTTCCTAGCTCAAGGCTCACTCTTTTCCTTGACAGAGAAAGATTCTTGGTGTTGAACTACATGGACAAACAAGAAGCTAGCGTATCACAACTCTGTCAGTGGATCCAAGAAGGTAAACTGAAGGTAGGAATCTTTACATTTAACCTGCGGCCTTCAATATTATCTCCTCAGATTAGTGCTATGAGTACAGGAAGTCTATTTCTTTGTCTCTGACTGTATTATCGTGCTCCAGGATCAAAGAGATTTTCTTAAGAATGCTGCAGTACACTTGAAAGCTTGCCAGGTAGTACCTATAGTGAATACTTGCCACGAATGGCGTGGCTGCACTATGACAGACAGGATGCTGATATCTGTACTCTGCCTTTCAGCATAGGATAGAAATGCTTTTTGACTTAAGGGATTTTAAAACTTTTTACTTTTGAATACCTGCTTAGTTCGTGTTCTGAATGCTTTTGGGGATCTTGTCAGAGATTTTGTTTTGGGCTTTATAATCACTAATTCTTATTTTGGGATTGGTAAGATTCTTGGTATCTTTTTCCCTGTAAAGTCTTTCTAAATTAGTTTTTGATTCTTCAGATGATCAGTGTGGTTACCTGGAAGAATCCCAAAATATAGGATTTTGGCATGTGTGCAGATCTTCCAGTTCTGATTGAAGAACTAAATTAGCTATAGGTTTATCAAAGTATTGGCTTCTATCTTGATGTTGGAACATAAGTAGCTGAAACAGAGCAGAGAATCCTTACCATTTGTGTGGCAGTTCCTAAGAGATGTTAATCTTGTCTGGCAAAAGCTAAGAGGACATTTTTGTATTGACAGGTCAGAGAGACAGTGGTAGAAGGCTTAGCGAATATTGGTGGTAAGCTTTTATAACATTTTCTAAAAACATTGAGTGCAACAATAGTAGAAGCCATTTGCCAATTCAGATTCTTGTTCTTTATTATAACACTAAAAATTATAACACTAAAAATCATGTTTTAGATAATAAAAATCACGAGGTATTAAAGTGTCCTGTAAGAAACTCACATATGTTTAAAAATTTATTGGATATAAAGTTTGCAGGTTTTTCTCTCCCCAGAATTATGATGTGGGGAGGTGGGAGTTGGGTTAAAGTGTTTAAACTGTTACCTTAGCAGTTCTCAATCATCCTGGTCTTACTGATTTAAGGTGCTGCCCATTTCTTGGAACTTGCATACAAAAGGGTCTTTTGGAAACTTTGAACTTACGCTTCAAAACAAAAAGTCCATTTCTAACAGTACTTGTTGCTGGATCTGCTAACAAAAAATGAATTGAAAGCTATGTACAAGGAAAGGGAAAACATACTAGCATGACAAAACAATCTAAGTTAATATTTCTGGAGAAACAAGATAGCCTGTAGCCTCATCCAAAAATCTATAATTAATATAAAAACCATGGGGGTCTTGTGACTCCAACGAGACAAAGCTAAAAGGCCAGGTGACTCAAGATGCACTGTAAGAACGCATCCCTACCGAGTAACAGGAAAGGATAGGATGTAGTCCACTTATTTCTGTAAGACTGAAAATCAGTAGAAATAGGCATTGGCCCAAGCATATAGATACACATTTATTTCTACATTTTCATTTCTTGTTGATACTTACTGGTAAAAATGTGTATTTTAAGGGAATCAGATCAAATTTTGCAGGCATATTTCACACCTTACTTACTCATTCTATTGGAATCAGTTTGTCACATTCCTTGCAATATGTTGCCTGTAAGCACAGTACTTAGAAGTCTGTTCATTTCACAAAGGTTTGTGAAACTGATAGCACTTGTGGGCTCTCCAGTCATGCTTCATCTTCACGTTCGGCATTTGTGTCCTCGTAACAAAAGCAGAAAATATAATCATGAACTTACATTGGGTGAAATAGGAACTTAAAAATTGATTAAAAAAATAATCACACAAAGCTGCCTGTGGCAGTTTATTACACTAGTTTTTTTTTTTTTTTTTTTTTTTCCCCTCCATTAATAAGGCATATCATTAAGAATAAATATATATCGTTGCTCCTGTTTGGGGAACTACTTCATGTTTGCTTCTGTCATTTTCTTTAAAAGAAGTTACTTGACACATTTGATTTGGAACTAACTTTTGTCATTATTTCTCTTGAAGCTGCTTTCCAGTCCATGATGAATGGAGGCAATATTGGAAAACAGATCGTCCTAGTTTCTAAGTAAAAGTCATTGCTTGGGGAAAAGTAAATGATTCTATCCATAGTAATAAGCAAGTTTTACTTACAGTAACTACCACCTTAAATATACAATTGTTCTTTATGTACTAAAAGCAGATATTTTAGGATGCTAAGGCAAAAACCATGCTAATAAACTGAACAGATTTGGAAACAGGAATGCAATAGTTCATACTAAATATGGTAATATATTTGACATGATTTGACAGCAGTCAGTTAGCACACGTACAAATAATTCATGGGTATTGGAAGTTAGACCACCTCAGGAACTATTTCCAATAAGTAATTTGTATACAGCCACCTGGTTTTAGATGTGCATACATATGTGTTGTTCCTATGCTAATTTGTCTCATTGCCCAAGAACTTGATAATTTTTCATTTACTAGTATAAGCTTAGCTTGACAGTCCAATCATTCTGGCTATCATCTTAAAATTAAAATTATATGTGTTATAACTTTTTTTTTCCCCCAGATAAGAGCAATCAAAAATTCCATTTCTACAACTCAAGTTCTGTGATATCAAAGATACTTCTATTTTGCCATCTGGAACAAGTTTCCACTGATTGCATTTCCCATTTTTCTGTAGTGTATCATTATATAATCTATTTTCAGTGTACCTTAAACCTACTTCATTTAGAATTCCATCTGTATGCTGCCTGAGACTTCCATCAGAGGAAGGTCCAGCTATAAGGGCTAGCTTGTTTTGGCATAACAGTGCTCTTTTACCATTTTGGAAGCTTGAGAAGTCAGCCACTGTTTCCAAGTCCGACTAACATAACCTCAATCCAAGCGATACGGATGCAATTTAAACATCTTCAAAATAAAGCCATTAGAATTCCACCATTATGTACATTTAGAAACACTGGCACATTAATTTAGTGATTAGGATAACTTACGATAGCGTAACTTACAAGCTATTGGTTTTGTTTTAAATATCTGCCTTTAAGAGGAGTGCTTCCAAGCACAGTAGGGTAGGCTGAGAATGGATCCTCTAGATCTTCTTGAGTCACTACCTACACTCTAAATGGAATCCAAGGACTAGGTGAGAAACTATACAGGAAGTTTAGCATTTAAGTCTTTTTGCACACTGTAGAAAGAGAGCTGATTACAGAACTGCCTTGTATCATTGTAAGCAATATGAAAAACAGTCCCTTGATTTCCTAGTGCTGAAGCTGACCCTGAAAGAAAGCATACAGTGACTAATGCTTTAGGCTTTGAAGAGAAAGACACCTGCATAATAGGATTACATTCACATCCAGCTAGATTCTCAATCCAATATCAACATCACTAACTTGAGCACTAGCAACATCATACTGGGACAGAAGCCAAATTGTTGTGGAATAAAATCAACATCATTGTAGTTGGCAAATGAAGATAAAAAGCATCAGATGGAAGAAATTCTGTGAATTCCTGCTTACTGACTGTTTACAGATGATACTCATTCCTGAAATGTGGGCATTTCAAGCTTAAAGACTTGATAATTTGGACACAGATGAGAGAGAGAGGAGGGAGCTAAGGGGAATACAGCCTTTTCAAACAGAACCAGATGTTCTATTGAGTGTTCTGGTACATCAGATCATGTGACTTAATGGTCACCTTTCCTTTTTTTCTCTCCCACGTACACACACTTTAGATTGAAACAGCATCAGCCTGGAGGCTGTTATGCAATGCACACCCTCTTCTGCAGTAAAACTTCTACAAGGCAGTAGGCTGGCCTTAATGCACTGTAACAATCTTTCTGAATAGACTTCCTCCTCCTAAAGTCCAGTTCATTCCTAAAGTTCAATTTCCAAATGTAAAAGAAAAAAAACAAAACAGCCCACTTCTTCACACAAATTTAAACATCCTCTTGCTTACATTTCCCTATATTTGGCTTCCTCCAATCTAGAAATTGTATGTCCGTTTCAACAACATTTTGAGAAAAAAAGATGCCTTATGATCTTAAAACTGAAGACCGTTTTGTTTTAATTCAAGCATTCTGGTTACTTACATGCATCTATTTCAGAAGGGATTTCATTCACAACCTGTGGTCAGTTTGTACTGCAAGAACGTAAGGAAGGTAGCATAGCAAGAACCACTGCTGAGAAGGTGTTAAAATGTTTTCACATATTATGGGTGAAGGTGACTTACTTATACTTCCTTGTCCAAAGTACAAATGTTGGACTTCTGAACATTGTTTGCTAAAGAGCTATTCTAGAACGAGCTCATAAGTGAGGACCATGAGCTGACACACCTTCCAAGAAGGACAGCCTCTAGGATCTGCATTTTCACAACTGAAAATATGATTAAATTTTAAAATTCCCAGCACTATGATTTTTACAGCAATTGCTTAGTAATCCATGCACGCTGTAAGCCCATTGCAGTCTGATGATGTGAAAGGTGACCCAGAGTGAGGTCATGCTGAGGTATTAATTCTTTACTGTAATAAAGGCAGCTTGATTGCTGCAGCATTCCAGTAGATTAGGTAACTCATAGGGAGGAATATTCTGTAAGCATAAGTCAGATGACTACAGGAAAAAAAAAAAAAAAAAAAAGATACAGACAGTTAAAGTAGACTTCATCATGGTACTCCCAATATCTAGAAAACTTTTCTGCATTTGTGAACCCTGGCTTAATGTTGTCTCTTCAGAATAAATAAAAATCGAAGGAAGAAAATCTTTTAAATGAAGTGCCTATATCTGTTAATAAAAACATTACTTTTTTTTTTTTTTTTTTTTTTTTTTGCAACCTTGTCTTAATTTCTTATTGTAATAGTGTGTCTCTTAAGTGATCCTACATTTTGCACTGTAGGGGAGGTCTCATTTAACAGAAGGTAACAAATAGCTGCTAAGGAAAATCCAGGCCACTCTGGATGTAGCACCACCACTGACTGCAGAGGACCAGCATCTGCACGTGAAGCCTTGCCGTGCAGGGACAGTGCATGGTAGTTCAGATGATCTTAAGTAAGGGCAGACATGAATGCAGAGTAGCAAGTTTGTGACCAGAAGAAGGTACTGGAAGTTTGGCTATGCAGTCTTTATCAATAAGCACTTCTTGTTGCAACTAGTAACATTTAAACAACATTGGACAGATATCACTGAAAAAAATTTGAGCCCAGCTTACACTTGTTTATGTTTTGCCTGTTTCACGCACTCCCATTTTCATCTCTTTTCCTTATGCACTGTGAAAAGTTGCTGTTGGCTACAGATTAGCACTAGGTCCTATGGTTTAGTGCAAGGATTTAGTGGAAAATATCAGATACCTGGAAAAAGAGCTTACCAGCCCCCATAGAGGTGGTTCCTGTTGCTATTCACAGTAGCAACTTCAGACAAAGTGGTGATAGAAGGCAGACCCCTTTCAAGTAGCTTCATACCTTTTTCCTTTTTAATGCATTGATAGTAAAAACAGATGCAGGACTATTTGTGCTTTTCTGTCTTACACTTTCCTGTATTGCAGCAGGGAAGTGGGAAATGTCTATGCAGTCCATAAGCAGACTGCCAGGGATAAAAGTTCCTAAGCAGAAGGCTTATCCTGCAAGGGTAACAAGAGCTGGAATTAACTCCAGACCTAAAGAATAACTTGTGAAACACAACTGAAAAGTTCAGGAAAAAGCACGAAGGAAAATGAGTCAACTGTTTAGCCACATGGACACAATTTTTCAACTAGAAAGATATGTTGGATAGTTATATTGAGTTAGGTACAGCACTCACTGTAGGTGAAATGGTGGTAAGAGAGCAGCCAGCAGTACTGAATGAAGTACAAAGTAGCTGGGCAGCATTTACCTAAGAATAGGGAGGTGTTATTTTATAGAAGACTGAGGGAAAACAGTGAACAAGGGCAGTTCCTGCTCCTGTCTTTTCTTAGACTGGCTTCTCCGTAGCTCTGACAGCATCCTCAGAGACCCTCCCTAAGCTCCTATTCTTCTGCAACATGGAGCCTCTCTCACTGTGCCTTGCTTGCTTTCCTTGTAACCTGGGTTGGGAATTTGACTAAGGACAAGGCTCTGATGGGGAGAAGCTTGGATACTTGCCAGCACAGTAGGACTTCCTGCTCCTGGTTCTTGAGTGACTGGAGAAAGGCAGAATGCTGTCTACCACTGCTCTCACCCCTGGAATGGTACTGCCTTTACATCCCATTACCCAAACCCTTCCCCTGCTTCTCAGCAATAGCAATCCCACTAGAAAGCTGCACAGGCAGCAGTGAACACTGCAAACCAAAACAGCCTGTCCCTGCAGCTGACTTCAGTGTGAGCCTTCATTGCCCTCCAGGTAGCCATCACTTACCACCTCAGCTACCCAAGCAGATGCAGAACAGGTTTCCTCCTTGAACTCTTGGAACTGTCCTTGTTCATTTGGTTTTTCTTTTTCCTTGCCTTTTTCGATATGCCACAGAAAGCATGAGAAAAGCACAAAGAAAAATCCTCTTTCGTTAGCCAACAATCTCACAAAGATGAAGTTACAGATGCTTTTTATAAAACTTAACAAAAACTTAAGCCTTAATAATAACAAAAAAGTATTTGAAAGCATTATCAGAACTTTTCTTTACAAAAGAAAATCTATTTTCAGTTTCAGATAAGAATCAAGTATTTTAAAGTCATTTTCACCATGCAGACTAAAAAGGAAAACAAAAAACAACAGAACCACCCAAACCTGCTGAGTACTTTAAAAGAAGCGTTTAAATAATGAAAGGCTGATTTCTCACAGATGTTACGGATGCCTGCTGGCAATACGCAGTGTATTTCAGCAGTCTGATTCCATGATCTGCTACTTGCTTTGCTCACTTCATGTCTTGTCCTCTTACTGAACAGCTTGGAAAGGATCCTCTTGGCTTCAGAAGATATCTAGGTTCCTATGGTTACCCCCAACAATATTTTAAGAACCACATGCTAGAATTAATAAGTGCCAAAGTTGCTTTATTTATAAACTTTAAGAAAGAAACAAAATCTTCCCAGGCTTAACTCATCCCTGAACTGGAAAAACCATGCAACACTATGACATCTTTCTTAAAATAATGCTAATTGATATAAGAGGAATTCATCCTGTTAGTGAGCAGAAGAGCTGAATTTTGAAAGAGGATCCAAACAGGCAATTAATTAGGTCAACACAGATCCTGCTATCACTAGAACGTTTTACTTTAGTCCATCACGTTGATTTGCATCTTTTGGGCATCACAGAGCAACAGAGGAGAAAAGGCATATTTTTATAGGGTGGCTTCCACATGTATTGTAATAGCATCTGCATATTTGTCTGAGTTTCATTCAGTTATTAGTTTCCTTAAGTGACTGGTGCTATTTTCCCAGAGCCAGGCTATATTTTATGGAACCTATATCTACACATTTCATTTTAAAGGGAAAATCACATACATCACAATTTTTGTTATCTGCAGTTAAATTGGGCAACCATGTACTTATACATATAAGGACAGCTAAATTAGAAGTTATCTCCCTATGTGCTTTTGAGAACTTCCATTCTGCTGAGATGAACAATTTAAAAAGATCTTCAAGCAAATATTGGTAAATAGAGTTTTCCCATGTTAAGTTGCATAGCTCAACTAGCAAAGTTAACATTTTACTGCTGAAGTTCCAGAATATTAGAAAGGAGAATAAGGAAAGAAAGAAATCCGAATTAACATGAGACAAGGTCAGTTTTGCTTTTCTATGAAGCAACAAAGAACTGTAACAGGTGTACCCTAAAACAGGTCTTTCTGGCATGGGGTAGAATTCTCAGTTTCCATACCATGCTTTTTGCTGAGATCAGGACAGAAGGGTAGCCCTGCTCTTCTCACACTTCAGATGTATTACATCAGTCCCACATACATATGTAATTCACACATCAACCACATGTCAACAGCATGCCATTTTTAGGGAGATCCTCAGAGCCATGGACAGCACATCTGAAAATAAAACACCTTTCCTTGCCACACTAAGACTTGTATGAACAAGTTCTTAAAATAATTCCATCTATCTACGAAACATCCAACAGAACCAAGTATAGTTGATTATTATGTAAGAGAATAGGATGGCAGATGACAGACAAGAAAGGTCCATCTCCTCTCAGAGAAAAGTTCTTCCCACAGGCTGTGTGAAGCATTTTATTGCCATTCATACGCTCTCTGATCAAAAGTACTTGCATTCCTAGCAACATTGTAAAATGCCACATTTGTCATCACATTTCCACCATTGTTTCTCACTAGTAAATGTTGAACCCTGCCTTTGATTTTTTTTTTTTTTTTTAAAACAGCTTTGCAAAACACTTACATTGCTTATCACAGTGTCATTAGCTGCTAAGTATTCTCTTAACAAGGTATTTAATTTACACAGATGAGGGCTGTTAATATCTTTTTCCTGCTATAGTCAGTCACAGTGGAATGGGAATTAAGGAGTAGAAAGGCTCTCATTTTAGAGATAACAAGTCTTAGCTTTAAGTAGAATTTTCTTCTAGTTTATTGTATTCCCTTATTTCTGTAATACAGTTAGCCAACATGTTGCTGTCTTTTCGAAGGTGACATAAGTTATACCTCCTTTTTCTTGACAAACCATAAATAAATTACTAAAATTACATAAACTACTTAAACATTCCACTCACAACAGTCTTATGAAACAGGCCAGTGTCCTCCTTATTTTATAGATAAGGAAGCTGAGGCAGGAAGCTTAGCAATCACTTTAAGGTATAACAAAGAACCATTATTAGAATTAAGGACTTCATGTTTTGCCTTTTGGAGAAAAAAACTCCCAGCGGGGTTAAGAAGAAAAGCAGAATAGGTTCATAATTAGTAAAGACAGCTCTTTTGGCTCTAGTTTCTTAAGTTCTTCATAAATACAACTGCTCCATCATTTTTAGACAAGGAAAAACAAAAATAAAGAAATGAGTTTCCCAGGCCACTCGGTGGCACTGAGACCCAGAAACAGAGTCCTGACTCCTCTCCCTTAGCAAGGATACAGCTACTAAACCACAGGATTCCTTTTGGATCTTCCAACCCAAGACAACTGTCACCATTCCTTGCTTTAAAGATGAACTGCTGACTACAACTGTGAATTCCAATGGCAATCATTCCCTGCCCTTTCAGTAGTCAACTGTGGGAAAATCAGCAACCGTAACAGTGGAAAACAACTATTTCCTTCCAGAGAAAGAGCACATTCATTAACTAGTGCTCCCAGGATAAGATTAGGACCATGGCTCAGGTGAACGTATGCACAAATACATATTTAAACACCCAGCAGCCTATAAAGAACTCCTATAGGCCTTTATGAACTGAAAAGTGTATGTAAGCGTTGGACTCTTACATTGAAGGCCATACAGAACCTCTGTGATAAATATTAATTTATAAGGACATCTGGTCTAATCCTCTAGAAATACACACAGATCTTGAAATAAGCAGCAGTTACACACAAATCCTGGAGCTTGTTATCCAGATCTATTCATATTTTTCCCAGCATTACAAAAATCAAGAATTTAAGAATTAAAAATATTTTCCATTCAATTACAACAAGTAAACATTTCCAGTGGTGATCCATAGAGACATTCTGCTTTGTATCATAAAAAACATACTACAGATTACACAATTTACTGCACAGTGTATTAATGTATAATTGTATAACATTATACAGTATGCTGCATACGTATAATACAACACACATATATAATACATACTGTTATACATTTACTACAGCTATGCAGCAATGGAGG